AGATTTCTTTTTTTATACTTTAATCTTTGTTATTTTATATGAACTGTGATCAAGATTTGACCGAATAGTTTCAGAATAATTGGGCGCCTAGTGAGAAGTAGACATTTGTAAAAAATTATATTTGTAAAATCTCAGCGAAATTGAAACGAGTAATTCCAACGTTTCCTACCTTCCAATGTCGCTGAGATTGTACAAATATAATTTTTACAAATGTCTTTGTTATTTTAGCTGAGATTAATTTCACTGGAGAAGTTTGGACCAGTTTTCCGAACACAAAAAATAACACGTGTGAATTACTGATTTCAATTTTGCTGAGGTTATACAAATATAATTTTCTACATATGTCTACTTCTCACTCGGCGCCCAATTATTTTGTGAACTGTTCGGTCAAATCTTGATCACACACACACACATCGATCATATGATCTATGTGTAAATAGATTGTTGGTTAAACAAAAAGTTATGGCTCGAAACATGTAAACATGCAACTAATTCAACATAAGTAAAAAACTTGGGCACTGTGGTGGAGCATAACTCCATTATGGATAAGACGAGTGTTTTTTTATAGTCAAAATAAGTAACTTGTTAGAATGTTGTGATGTGTTTGAATTGAAATAGAATTTTGAGATTATTTATTATCCTCTTCTGATTTGACTGGTGGTAATAATTTCTTCCATATTTCTGGTATTTGCATTGAGTGATTTCTGTTGCATGTGTTGGGTGTAGACTACTCGATGAACCAGGATTCAGTAATCAACCTCTCTCCACCTACCTAGATTAGCTTTTAGAATTTCAACCCTCTCCCAATTTATTGTGTGGTTGTGTGTTAATGCATGCATGTAGTGCAATGTAGTGCTGAGCTGTTTTCTAAATTACTCATCTTCTCGGGGTCAACTAATTCGAGTTGAAAACCAGTTTTCCTAAGTAAATGATCCTGAATAACAACGGATAATATAGCAGCTATAAACGCTCATGATTAATGCTCAGAATGAATTCTATTCATATTGATTGAGGATGAATGATTAAATCAAAAAACAAAGGGAAGAGTAAGTGGTTTAGAAGGTCTGTCTGTCTGTCTGTTTTCGACATAGAACTTTGCACCAATGTGCAGCACTTCAAGTCGCCACACTCCCTACTTGTAGGACACAAAGCAAGAGAAGAAAGTAGAAGAAATGCATAATAGAGACAGTAAACAGAGGTGTGAGACAAAGGAATAGTAATAACGAAGAACAAAACAGTTTAATTGGAAATCATAAGTCACAAGGAGTGGATGCATCTGCACCAGCCACTGAGAACGATTTTGAGCCATGTCACCAACTGTTTCCAACCATTGGCTTAGAAGGTTATGTGTGCGTCAGTGTGTAAATTGATTAATAAGGTTAAATAAGAAAATATATTATTTGTTCATGCAAGAGTACTAACAATGGCTGGGGGAATGTATATATACAGGATGGAAGGTCATACATAGAAGGTTTTTAATGTAATACAGTATTTATGAATTGATAGATTCCGCAGCAGGTCAGGGTAGCAATAGTAGCTAAACTTGTTTCTTTTCTACGCATATACCGATTGTTTTAAGCGAAATTGTAATTGCTTCTGCTATTTTGGGGTGGGGGGCATCCAGTACCTAGAAGCTTTTGGTAATTTATTTGGTACCTGACAGGTATTAGCTTTAAGGTGGCGCATGTGTCGACTAGGTAATCTAATATCGAACTGTGGATGGTTTTCAAAACACCTGCATTTATCCACTCAGGCAGGTGTTCCTGAGCACCAAAACATCAAGTCCCTAGAGCAACGGCCAATATAACTGGCTCCATAGAAGCAACTGAATTGACAGATCCAAGAAGGGATACCTAACCTGGATACTATATATGTCCAAACCACGTTCACTTTTAACGGTTTGAAAACATTTTTGGGCATCGGATACATGATATTCATTATAATAAAGGTTTTCTTGTATTTCCAAATGAATGAAAAACAAAACGATATTCTCGCTTTTACTGATGTTTCGCTATTTAATGCTGCTAATAGCTTTATTAAAGTATTATTAAACCGGAATTTACAAAATCTCAGCATATATATATATAACAAAGAGTTATGGGGTGAGAAAATAGACTACTTAGGTCAAGTTAAAAGGACATATTGAAAGTCAAAATACCAATGAAGATCACTAAACCAAATAACAAAGGTAATAGTACATCTGTTATGATATCAAAACAAAGTTTACTAACTTGATCATCGTTCGTCTGTCTGGGGTCATTTTTCGTTGTCAAGTTGGTCAATTGGTAAAGATAACAAAATCAAGTGTAGATTGTTGGATTTGATCAGTGTGTAAAATTATAAAAGCAGCGTGTGTTTACATAGTGAACTTGCTTATCACATTCGTGTTGATTTTGTCACTTGATGGGGGAGGGGAGGGAGGTGTTGTAACCAGGTCAGATTCTGTTTTAGTCCATCATTCCTATTCAGGCAATTTGGATTCCACTTGATATGAAGTGCTTCTGATATTAGACGTTCTTTGTGATTTCTGAAGTTTTTCTGGATTATTTCAACATTGTCAAAATCAATTTTGTGGCCTGATTCTATAGCATGTAGACCTATGGCTGATGATTTTTCAAGTCTTTGTAGTTCAACAGGATTTCTCGGTGGTCGAAGAGATGCTCTACGGTGTTCATTTCTTCTGATTTTGATTTCTCGAGATGTTTGTCCGATGTATATCGCATCACATTCCAAGCATTTTATTTTATAGACACAATTAGATAGAGAATCTTTAGGGATTTGGTCTTTTATATGGACAAGGTTGCTTTGAAGTGTGTCTAATGTTTTGAAGAAAACTCTAATATCGAGGTGATTGAGTACTCTTCTGATATCGTCAGACATCTCTGCTCTATATGGAATGATGACTATTGATGTCCATGTTTTCGGAATGCATTTTCGGCCATACTTAATATCTGTGTTGATTTTGTCGATGAAGTTCTATGGGTAGTTGTTTTGCTTGAGAGTTTTAGTAATGTTTGTTCGATCGCCTTCTTTTCATAATCCGTTCTGTTCATTATCACAGTGACATTTCCCTTGTCGGCTTTCGTTTTAACAATATTTTTGTCTTTCTTCAAATTTCTTAAGACTTCATATTCTTGTTTTGGTGAGATTAGATGGTATGTTTCGTTGTGTCCTTAATATGTGTGATATCTTTTGATGAACAGATTGTGATTCTTCATTGGTGAATTGTTGTAGAGCAGGTTCAATCATAGGTGCTATTTCCTGCACTGGGCGATAATGGCTTTATAGTGATATGGAAATTCAAACCTTTCTGTAGTAATGAGATTTCCCTTTTCGGTTAGTATCTTGTCTGACATGTTGTTATGTATTATTATTATTGTTCCCTTGGGTTCCTAGTGGAACATAGGGCTTCAACTGCACGCCTCCACTTGCTTCTGTCTTCTGCTGTACTTTTCACTTGCATCCATGTTAGTCCATACTGTTTCAACTCCTCTTCACACGATCTCCTCCATGTCACCCTTGGACGTCCCACTCGCCGCTTCCCTTTTGGGTTCCACTCGAGCACTGGACTGACGCGTAATGTCACCCAGCGGCCTCCTCAGCGAGTGTCCAATCCATCCATCTCCACTTTCTCCTGCATATTTGTTGGGCGATTGGTTCCTGTTTTGTTTGTTCCCGTAGTTTCTTGTTGGTGATTCTTTCCGGCCATCTAATCTTCAGTATAGAGCGAAGACAGTTGTTGATAATGGTCTGCAACAGGCTTTCTGATCCGTATAGAAGAACTGACTGACTTGACGTTTGTATTGAAAATCCGAATCACTTTGTTGTTGATGCAGGCTGAGTGACGAATATTTCCAGATTGGTTTCTGGTTGATGAATGTGTTTCTCGCCTTCCCGATTCTCGATTTGACATCCTCGTCCGTTCCTCCTGTAGTTGAGACAATGCTCCCTAGATAAGTGAACGAAGTAACCTCTTTCAAATCCCTCCGTTGATGGTGATTGGCGCTGGATGTTCCTGCTGTTGTTGTTATTGTTGTTGTTGGTTGGTTATTTTCATAACCTCCTTTTTGTCTATGTTCACCTGGAGTCTTGTCTTTGTTGCTTCTACGACCAGTTTGTCGGTTTTCGCTTGTAATTCTTCGATTTTGTGTGACATCAAACATAAATCATCCACGCGCGAAATCCAGGTCTTCTAGGTTCTTCACATCGGTCCAGGATAACCCTGTCTTCTCGTTTCCCACTATCTGACGCATAATCCAGTTCACCACAATTAGGAATATCGTTGGTGATAATAAACACCCTTGTCTGACTCCTGTGTTTACTCGAGCTGAGTTTTCTGTTGTGGATCACTTGACATGTGCCGTTGTCGTACAGCTGTTGAATAAGGTTGATGAATATTTGGGGTACGCCGTAGTTTTCGAGTAGTTCCCAAATTACTTCGCGGTCAACGCTCTCAAAGTCTACAAAGTTGAGGTAGAGGTTTGATTGCCATTCCATGCTTTGTTCGATGATGATGCGTATCATATCATTTGCTGAGGTTTTCTTTGGTTGTTTCTTTTCTTCGAGTTTCAAGAATTTTTGTATAATTGTCTTCTTTTAGTGGCATTATGAAAATGAGATTCTCGTTCATTAAACAATTTTTGAAAGGATTTATAGATATGGCTTGTAACAAGCATTAGGTTAAACAGTCGTCTATATTTTTGATTCTCGTTCGATAAGATTCAAGTTTGATGCTGCAGTTATGTATTCTTTCTCGTAAAAAATACACTTTGGAGGTATGATTTCCAGCATGTGTGGATTTGTGCGAATATATTCAAGAAAGAGGTTTAACTCGTAGTGACTTTGGAATAATTCCACTTTGTGGACAGCGTACCTTGAAAATATCGTTTTGTTTTTCATTCATTGGGAAATACAAAAACCTTCATTATTATGTAATATGAAGTTTCTGTTATTAATGTTAAGTAAACAAAATAGTTTTCGTGCTTTTTTTGTCCTTTTTAGGTATATACGTCAAATATTCTATGACTGGAACATATTTATTCTCCAATAATAATGTCGTTGAATGCTTGTAAACTGTACAAGCGTATGTCATTTCAAGATTATGTCTACAGAATAAGGCTTAACAAGGAATTGAAAATTAACAGAACCACTGGCGTAGATGATGGTGATGGTGACGATTCAATGCAGAGTTCTCTCATCATCGATTCACCTGACAACTATTCATGGATATACAACATTGAGTATATATCATTTACAGTCAATCACAAAAACGATACTAATAATAATGATAACAATTGCATTACAATCAATCTTGATATTTTGAGATACATCAATCAGTGCCTGTTGACGACAGACCGACGAAGATACTCTTCCCTGTCCGGAAGTGAATCATCAGGTAACAGATATGTGCCAACCTTCTTTTGTTGGGATGGGGTGTGTGTGTGTGTGAGGATAGAGACACTTGATTGTTTTCAAGTTATATATCATGAACTAACACACGTCACTTAGAGAGTCATTGAAAACCACAGCTGTTTCACATCACAGTTTGCAGTTATTTGGCAGTACTCCAACCTAGGATGCTTTGGATAACAAGTGGGCTTGTTGTTTATTTGTATTCTGGAGTGTTTGAAGTTTTTTATTGAAAAGCCATGACCATTGATGTTCATGGTCATTCAGAGAGTGGAAGACATGAAAAGATTAGCTGTCTTTGATCATAGGTGCCTGCGTTCTATCTCCCGTGTGAAGTGGTATAATATGGCGAGCAATATTGAGGTGAGGCATCGGTCGAGTGCTAGGTAAGGAGGGAAGGGGAAATCAATCGACGAGGCTGTGAAATTACATCGACTGAGATGGTTAGGACATGTGTTACGTATGCCTAGCAATTCATCGCTTTCCTCGACGGGCAATGTTAGCTGACATAGGATTGGTCAGGCTGGAAAAGAGCTAGCGGCGGTCAAACGGAAACATGTATTCACCAGTCAATGAAATCTACAACAGTTAGTCTAAGCCAGTCACGTAGGAAGGTGTAGACTTCCTCACTGGTTGGGGTCCTCGGGACGGTAAAAACTAATGATGGCTGGAAACAATTGGTGATATGGCTCCAAATCGTTCTAAATGGCTGGCGCAGATGCATCCACTCCTTGTCACTGGTGATTTCCAATTAAACTGTTTTGTTCTTCGTTATTACTATTCCTTTGTCTCACACCTCTGTTTACTGTCTCTGTTATGCATTTCTTCTACTTTCTTCTCTTGCTTTGTGTGCTACATGGAGTGTGGCGACTTGAAGTGCTGCACATCGGTGCAAAGTTCTATATCGAAAACAGACAGACAGGCAGAGGTTCATCATATCGCCAGATATTAAGATAAATAATCAGCTCTGTATATATATATATATATATATATATATATATATCGTAAATTGACAAAAGTTAGAATTCATGGGCTCGTCACTGGATGCCGTCCCAGTGGCTGGTTGGTCAGCGGACCCGCTTGTTCACCTGACACTGACTCAGTTTCAACGTAGAACTTTGCATGGAAGTGCACCAGTCCGAGTAGTCACACACCGTCCAACGTACAAAGTAAGAGAAAATAAAGAAAAAAGGAGATCCAAAAGAATTACGATAAACCGAAATATGAGACAGAAAGAATACTAACACGGAAGAAGAAGAAGCAGATTTCATTGATCTGGGAGATTATAAAGACTGAATGCAACTCTATGCCATCATTGAAGACAATTTTGAGTCATAGTACCGATAGTCTCCAGTTGTTGGCTGGCTGTTAGCATCCCACGGATCCGAACCAAGCATTTAACACCAGCCCACGTGACTAGCTGAAACCAACTGTCAAGGACTTCACGGAATGATGCCAGGTTTTAGTTTGAGCACGCATAACTCTTTTCCAGCCAAATCCTGTGTCAGCTCGCAGTGTTCGTCGAGGAAGGCAATGGTTGTTAACCTTAATATCCTCCTGTGTTTGGTCCCCGATAGTGGCGTCATTGTTATTTTTTTTTTTTGATTGCACACTAGTCAGTAACTAGTGTAATGTGTCTAGTCCTATCTTCGCTACAGACTGAATTCTATCAGTCAAGCTTGCAATGTGGCGTCATTGGTGCATACTTATGAAGATTCCCAGGGTGGTGGAGGTAAAAGCTGTTCAGTGTACTGTCTAGTTTCCAGTGGTTCTCTATATGATGTATCATTTCGTCATCCAACTTGAAGTTGATTATTTGTCAAATATCAAATTTTTTTCTGACGTAATGGCACTACTCCTCAGTTTCTGAGGTTATGTGATAGATGAAGAGGAATTCAAACCCTGTACGTCTGCATTGGGTGTAAAGCAAGTGTAGTCATGCCAATTCGTCACATCTTCAAAATGCGGCTACAACTGCTATAGAACTGATATTTACCGTCATGGAGATCTGAATGTTCTTCATCAGCTCCACTCTGTGTGTCGGAATTTTTCCAGTATAAGGAGTATTTTTAATGTTTATTAATTTGCTTTCGTTACACTCTTTCGAATTTATGAGTATAGTAGTGTTAAACTGCTTTCTATGCCTACTCACATAGTTTATTATTGTTCTTTCTATTCATTATTATTATAGTTTATTGGTATCGACTAGCGAAAAATGAAACGCTGCTCAAAGCTGTAATTCAACTGATTCCTACTGGATACGGTGATCCATATTTACAAGATATTTCAATGATTTTGTTAAGAAATCTATGCGTACTGGCTGGATCTAACACTCCAGTTGAACAGTAAGTTTTTTCTGGGCTCTTTTTTAAGTTTATTTTTTTGCATTCCAAATAGAACGTTGGAATTCAAGCTTTGAACTATGTTTAGTTGCTTTTTTATACGAGCTGCAGTTAGTAGTAGCCTCACACCTCACACACCACAGTCGAACACTTGCGGATGACTAGCGACCATTCTAACATTCAGCTATTATGTAACAAACTAACTTCTCGTTTGTTTGTTTCCTTGCTTGCTTGTGTTTGTTTCATGGTTTCCAACACAGAGAAAAACAGGTATGCGTGACAAGAATTTTAAATTGGAGATTCATATAACCACAATGATTGTCGGTTCTCAATGACTGAAAAGTATTCACGCCTTATAATCTCCCAGAGTTCATTAAACCTTCATCCCTTCTTTTTTTGTGTTACTACTCTTTTTCTCATATGTTTCTGCTGATTATAGTTCTTTGGAAATTTTTTTCACAGCTTTTGTATGCTACCTATTTTGTGGCAACTTGTACTGGTACAGAGTTCTATACTGAAAGTCAATGAGGCGTGCAGGGCGGTGTCTAAAAATCCTTTTTTTTATTTAATGATACACCATCTCTTTCTTCATAGTAAATTAGTGTAATATACTTGATAGTTAGAAGTTAATTGGTGGATGGTGACTAGTAGTAGTGGAATCCAGGATGCACATTTCGTCCTATTTGGGACTCGTCAACTGGATACACCTGCATTCCACAATGATTGATGATGCTCCCACTGAGGCTGGAACCCAGTGCCCATAGTTTCAAAAGCCCAAGGCGTTATTCGCTAGACCACTTGGGTCACGAGTGCCACCTCTTCTGCAACGGGTCATACTAATTATTTAATTGAATTTTAGATTTTCCCGTCGATTGATTGGACCGAAGTGCTCTCCTTGGTCTCAGGTTGACAAGTCGGCTTCTTGTGCAGATGCTTCGACGACGATATCTGGGCATGTCCCAAATAGGACGAAATGCGCATCCTGAATTCCACTGCTAGTCACCATCCACCAGTTAACTTCTAATTACATGCCCAGACATCGTCGAAGCATCTGCACAAGAAGCCGACAGACATGTCAACCTGAGACCGAGGAGAGCACTTCGGTCCAATCAATCGACGGGAAAATGTAAAATTGAATTAAATACTTGGTAGTTAGTTGACTTTATTATCTCAACAAAACCGGTTTTACCTACCCTACCGTATGTCTACTTAATGTAGAATGGACTGGTCGAACTGACACAATCAGATTTAAAAGCAATTAGAAAATAATAAGATGGTGTAGTCAGGGATTAATAAAGACAGTGAAATGAAAATCTGGCTTGCAGTAGAGCTCAAAGGAGCGACAATTTGTGGATGATCTCTCCTCCGCTTCTGGATAGATGAACTACTACTACTACTACTATACTACTAATTTTTAAGAGGATACGTTTTGCCAGGTATTAGGTGAATGCTTGTCGCCAGCTTCCGCTGTCATTAGCTTCATATTCAGAATTAATACAAGTTAGAATTTATGGGGTTAATTGAGTCCCAATAAATACTGAATTTTGGGCTTATTTAGGTAATATCACGCAAAGAAATGAGTGTCCCTTGGATAGTTAACACGAATATTTTATTATTATTATCCTTTGGGTTCCGGGTGGAACATAGGGCTTCAACAACACTTCTCCACTACCCTTCTATTTTCTTCTGTCCCATTCAGCTGGCTTCATGGTTGCCCATAATCTCCTACCTCTTCTTCGCATGATCACCCGCATATCACCCTAGGACTACAGACCAACTCGTTGCTTCTCAATGGGATTCCATTCGAGTGATGGCCTGCACGGCTCGCGATTTCATTCAACGGCCACTTCAATGTATGCCCAATCAATCCATCTCCATTTTCTCCTACATATTTGTTGAGCGATTGGCTCTTGCTTGTTGGTTTATTCTCAGCCAGCCAGAGTTACTTGTTAGGTATTCTTTCTGACCAGCCATCTGATCTTGAGTATGGAGCCGGCCAGCTATGGTGTCAGTTGGTAAAAGTCGTTAACTGACTGTTGGAAATCCTATTGTGATACACTGGAGAAATGACTGAATTAACATTGGTGTCGAAAACCCTATTCTTGTTCTTTATGCTGAGGCGGGAGTGCAGAAGATTTCCAAACTAGTTTCAGGTTGATGAAGGCGTGGGTATCTTGCCTTTCCGATTCCGACTGGCTTTAACATCTTCATCGGTTTGATTTGAATAAGTTATTCATAATTTGATGGAGAAACAAGTATCGGAAATAGTTTTCTGTTGACAGAATGTTACCGATGTAGATAAATTAGAAAAAGGAGAATAACAGATCTTTAATTGATACTGTAATTACCTCATAACTGGAATTGTGTTGATTCGAAAGCAGCTGGTTCTAATCCTGCTGCATGAACCGGATTTTCACTTCACCACCTTTAGTCATCAAAGATTACGTTGATAGTCTCACCATCAATGAATGAATTATTAGTATCCCCCTGGATTCTGAGTGGATTATATGGCTTCATCCAATCCACATCTGTTTTATATGGTCATTTTTAACTGGTTCCATTATTGTTCATGAAATTTCATCAGCCTTTGCGTTCTACTCGAGCGATGGCCAGGCGTGAGACGTCACTAAGCGGATTGCTCAGGTTGTGTCCAGTTCACTCCCATTTCCTCCTGCATATTGATTGTGTAATACGCTATTGGTTGATTCGCTGACTTACCAGAATTACTCGTTAGTAATCCTTTCTGACCAGGCATCTGATCTTTGGTATGGAGCCGCAAGGCAGCTGTTGATAAAGGGCTGGGACCTTTTAGAACTGCTTTTTGTGATGTGCCAATTCCCTGGACTGTATAAAAAAAATGGAAAATCCGAATCTGAGTGCAGAACTTTTCACACATTTTTCATATTAATAAAGGTCTATTTTGCCTTTCCGACTCTGCCTTTGGCGTCTTTATCCTTGCCGCCTGTGTAGTTGAAACGATGGTGCCTAGTTAAGTGGAAGAAGTGGCTCCCTCTTTAAATCAGTCCCGTTGATACTGATCGGTGCTTGTTGTTGTTGTTGTTGGTTCGTGGGGAGTCTTCATAGCCTCTGCCTTCTTTGCGGCTTCTTCTGCCAACTTGTTGGTTGGTTTTATTCTGTAGATCTTTTTCGAATTTTTGTCACAGTTGACATAAATCATCCTGGAAGTCGTCCTGTCTTTCTAGAGTCTTCTTGTCAGTCCATTGTATGCCTGTCGCTTCCCACTGTCTGTCACATGATCTAGTCTACCACGTGTAATATTGATATAAGTATAAAACTTGGGCACTGTGGTAGAGTATAACTCCATTATGAATAGGATTTTATTTTGATAAATCACACTGTGTTATGCATCGGTGGCATAGCGGTTAGGATGCTCGCCGACCATGCACATGGTCCGGGTTTCGATCCCCGGCCACCGACGCACTCCTTTACCTCGCTAAGCCACTAATAAGACTGATAAAGAGAGAAGGTTGGGCATGAGGCTAGAAACCCCATCCTGTAAAAATAATCACCAGTGCTACAGAAACTTCAAGCCACTAGCTTGAACTATTCTGTCAAATCTTGACGACAGTTCTTTTGAATTATTTTGCTATCGAATTAAATAAACAAAGAAACTATGTAATTGGCACAATCATCGTGTTTTCAATCTCCGTTGTCTGGAACAAAATGCACATCCTAAATCCGTAGCTGTCGAGTCATCTGACAACTCCAGTAGGTTGAATAAAGCAGCTCAATATTCAGAAAGAAGACATTGCAATAAGTTCGACAGGGTGCTTAAACTAAACTCTAATCCTAAACACCATAATTTTGAAAATACGTCTAATCATAAAATTCTAGATACTATCAGTTTGAACAGACATGCAGGCGAGATGTTAGCTGATGCATAGAAAATCCTGATTAATAAATAAAAATGGATATGTATCACTAATTAATAATACTTGGTCAAATTCCTAACTGTCTATATCTTCCTATGGAGACGTTAAGAAATGTTTTACAACTGTTTACACACACACGCATGCACACTCTGTTTAAAGTGTTTAACAAAGGTAGACCAATATTTGTAAGTCCGAGGTGAAATTTTGATCACAGCTCATACAATTTTGTTTATTATACTTGTTAATACTTGTGTTTATGAATCATGATTGGACAAAGTTTTTAAAAACAAAAGATGTGCCTTTTACATATAAAACCTCTGTTATGTTAATTTCGATTAATTTCCTTGAAGAAGTTCGGACCAGATTGCCGAACGAAACGTTGGAATTACTCATTTCAATATCGCTGAGATTTTACAAATATAATTTTTTACAAATGTCCACTAGCTTGAAGCCCTATGTTCCACTTGGGAACGTGAAGGAAAAAAAACACTGTGTTATATAGTAATGTTAACTGATGACCACGTTTCGAGCACAATTTGTTACCACTCATAATCATATCAAGTTACACTTTTTCCAATGGAGATTATTTCCACATGTACCGGTAGAAGTTAGGGAATTATTATTGGAAAATCATGAGGTGCTAGGCAGTTGTTTCGTTTAACGGTTTTGAGCTCTTCGGTAGCACACATCAACGGTGACGCACAAAGAAATATTGAACACACTTTCATTACAATTTGGAGACATTTATTCTAAGTATAGCGAAAATATTCATTCAGACATCTATAAAATACAAAATATAAAAATATCCTTTTCGATAATTTCCTTTTCTAGCTCTACAATTATATATATATATGTTTATATACATAGAATATTCTAGATTAGTAGTCAACAAGAATACTAGTGATTTTTAAATAATATCGATTTGTAAAGTAAGATCAATGGAATGAAGGAAGCGAAGAACATCCTGGATAAATTTAACGAGGTTCATCCTGCAATAAATTTTACTATTGAGACGTCCTTATGACCAGAGAAGAGGATGGCGCAATAAGAAGAAGTGTATATAGAAAACCTACATCAACGGTTTCTCAGCTTCGTGCCCTTGAAATACAA